TTCATTTTCAAAATGCTTTTATCATTGAGGCAGACAAGGGGTGAAATGATATGTTTTTCTATGGATTTAGCATGATGTTAAAACTATAATTAAAATTTTATATATTTATTAAGAGGTGTAAATGAATAAAATTTCGATAAATAGTTTAAAAAAATTAATTTTAATTTATTTATTAAATTTAATAAATAATTATAAATAATATTTTAAAATTCATTAATTAAATAAATCAATTACAAACATATTAAAAATAGATTCACAAACATTACATAGTTTATTTTTAGTTTTTTTATGCCTATATTTGTAACTGTTGAAATTAAGAGGCACGAAGTATACGTGCCCTGTTGCAGAATTGTTTGAGTAGTTGAAGGTGGCAGCGCTATGAAAACAACAAATTTATATTCTAAAATATAGCAGTTAACACATCATATTCAATAATTGCTCAACTAGTAAAAATTTGGCAGATGATAATGTTTGTCTAGGTATGCTAATTCTGAGATGCCGTTGATAAGTCAAACTTGGTTATTTTTAAAGAACCATTGACTGAATTTGGTGTAATGATACTCAAGGATTTTGCTACCTTGTGGCCAATAATTCCTTTCTTGTTGATAACACCCTTTCAGAGTACAACTTTTATATGCAAACTTCTTGGAGAAAAAAGAAACCTTGACTTACATTTTAATGGGACGCTGCTCATCTCCAAGTTTTGGAAATAATAATAATGTCTTTTAGGGAGTAGTCATCAATAGGTCATTTCCTTTTGCATTGCAACTAAATTCTGGCTTTGCTGCTGACTATCATTGATTCTTTGCTTTGCAACGACAGAATTGAAGGGGGATGGGGTTGGAGGCTATCATTAGGATTGGCCGGCATTCCAGCACTTCTCCTAACCGTGGGGGCCCTCCTGGTGGTTGACAGTCCTAACAGTCTCATTGAGCGTGGTCACCTGGAAGAAGGAAAGGCTGTGCTCAGAAAGATTCGAGGCACAGATAATATCGAGCCTGAGTTCCTGGAGCTTGTTGAGGCAAGTCGTGTGGCTAAACAAGTGAAACACCCTTTTAGGAATCTCCTTCAACGCAGGAACCGCCCCCAACTTGTCATTGCAATTGCCCTGCAGGTCGGTACTCAGTTGAAACTTCTTATCGCTGACCTATCCTATCGATAATGTTGGTACATGTCTGTCTGGTGGTAAAGTGAATAATTCTTACTGATATGTCCACTTTTCTATTTGTTTGTATACTTGGAACAGGTCTTCCAACAATGTACGGGTATCAATGCAATCATGTTTTACGCTCCAGTCCTTTTTGACACACTGGGATTTGGCAATGATGCTGCCCTTTACTCTGCTGTTATAACTGGGGCTGTGAATGTGCTATCCACCATTGTATCCATTTACTCGGTTGACAAAGTGGGCCGTCGCGTGCTGTTACTTGAAGCTGGTGTCCAGATGTTTTTCTCTCAAGTAGTGATAGCGATTATTCTAGGAATCAAGGTTAAAGACCATTCTGATGATCTCCACAAAGGTTTCGCAATCCTAGTTGTTGCTATGGTCTGTACTTTCGTGTCAGCCTTTGCATGGTCTTGGGGGCCTCTTGGTTGGCTGATCCCTAGTGAAACATTCCCCCTGGAGACCCGCTCAGCAGGGCAGAGTGTAACCGTTTGTGTCAACTTGCTCTTCACCTTTGTTATAGCTCAGGCTTTCCTCTCAATGCTCTGCCATTTCAAGTTTGGAATCTTCTTGTTCTTCTCCGGGTGGGTTTTGATCATGTCAATCTTTACACTCTTCCTACTACCAGAGACCAAAAATGTTCCAATTGAAGAGATGACTGAGAGAGTGTGGAAGCAGCACTGGTTTTGGAAGAGATTCATGGATGATGATCATGAGGGAGCAGCTGTTACCAATGGTGACATTGTAAAGAAAAATGGTCAAGCTAATGGGTTTGATCCAACTTCCCAGTTGTAATTTGAGATTTTTCTAATTAAATCAAAGTACTAGAAAGAATACATGCATTATATATATTGGTACGTGCTAGAAAATTGGATGACTAGTGTCATTCAAAATTCTGGGTGAAAGTATTTGATGTATAATGGTTGCTTTTAAAAAATCAGTCTTTGTGAATTAAGATGTTACAGCAGGACAAATTTTTTACTGCTGAGAGATAATCCTTCTTTGACAGAATTTTCAATATCTTGGATCACTAAGTTGAATAAATACAATATACTTTAGTTCCAATTTATATATGATCCTAGCCCACTGAAAATTCTCTAGATGAAATACTCTTGTCCATCTTCTAATGGCTTATTTTCAACCTCAAGCGACATAATTCCCTGCCAGGAAATTATCAGCAACAAAGGTTTTTTGTTTTTTTTGTTTTTGGTCAGAATCAGCAACAAAGTTGTTAATTTACTTAAAAGGATCAGAGAACAACACTAACACTGTATTTGGATGGGTGCATATATAAGGGTCAAGAATAAGCCCATATTCAAAGCCGTATTTAGAATAAGCCCATATTCAAAGCTGTATTTGTCCAAACTTTTGAAGGCTTCTTCTTCCTCTAAACCGTCCCTTCAGCCCCAACCAGGGTGCTTTGCCAACCTAACAAGTAAAGTTTTAGTCTCAGCAAATTTTCCACTGCCACTACCTTCTCACACAATTATTACAGGGGGTTTAATGGAGTCAAATCAAGTCAATTACAATGTCAAGAGCTTCATTTAATTAAAAAATTTAAGACTTAAAACTCGACTCAAGTTTTATTTTTTTATATTCAAACTTGATTTATAATTTAAATAAACATATCAAATTTGACTTGATAGATTTGATAAATTATAAATATTGACATTAAATATTATATTTTTATCATTTATTTGTGTATATATTAAATATATTAAAAAACTCAATTAAACTTATGAATCTTTTAAATTAAATATTAAATTATTTGAATTCAATTTGAATTTTTATTTAAATAATTTGGGCTTGAACTTGACTTGACAATAAACAAGTGAAATTCAATTTTTTTTTTTAAATGCAATTCAAATAGCTTGCGAGTAACTTGATTGATTTACACCCGTGGTTGTTACCTTGTGCAAACACTACTTGAGCTTTGTTGAGATTGGTAATGCACAAAAGGTTGATTCTGAAGCAAAGGAAAAGATCTATTGTGTCAAACTGGTAAAGGATCTACATAATTACAGACTTAAACTTGTATTATAAAGCATTTCCCCCAACCTAGTACTTGAAAGATCCACACTAGATCTACATGAAAAAGAATTTACACCAGTAAATTCTGATGTGATAATCAAAATATGATACCTACTCCAAGTTAATACTGCTGTTTAAGTGTCATTAATAGTATCTCAGGAACATCAAAGTTTTATTCCAAACTCTCTTCCTTACCATTTGAACTTCTAATTCAGTTTTGCTGATGTAAACAGTATTGACTAATTAACGTAGTTGATCATTACAAATCCAAAATGTAGATATAACATAGTATAAGAGAAAGTAGTAAGCTAAATAATTTGTCTTTTTCTTCCTTTGTTCCCACGTTTTGAAGAAAGGAACAAGACACAACAAGAAATGAAGTTGTATACTTGAATTTGGGAACACTATTTTATCACGGCACTTACCAAGAAAGAAAAATATATATCTAGTGCCAATGTGCTATCATTGCAGTCTAGCATTCCTTGTCCAATATGAACACTGTATCTGCATTTCTACAGCTCACCCGACAGCCTCAAACATTCTTTCCTTTCAAGCATTTCAAGCATCGCCCTCAAGTTTAAAACAAAATGGATAATAATGATGCAAACAGCAAGAAAATTGGGTGTGGCAACAACCGGTCACGGTGCACATTTTCGAAATTTGTTTTTTCTTCAGTGTTGCTACTTTGTTAAGTCATAATCAAAAGTCATAATTCCTTAATTTTTCCTTTTATTTCTCTCCTTCCTCAATTTCTTTTTCCTTAATTAATTCATTGCTAGTTTGTTGACATCTTGTCTGTTCCTTCATTATTATTTTTTTTTGGCCAAATTGTCTATTTCTTCAGAGATGTAATCTTAGTAGGGGAATAAAAACGCATGATTATTTAAAGGAAAACAAAAGAAAAACAAGGACAACTGATTGATTTTTGATAACCCATTGTAGAAAATTATCAAATTTCATAGTCCTTCGAACCTTGGTTCTTAAAAAATAACATTTATTAAATTTAGAATTTAAATTTTAATATTTGTAATATCTTTTTTTTTTATTCTCAAACTATAACTCTTTTTTTTTTAAATTTCATAATCCCTTGTCCTACCCAAAAGGCACATCATCATCCAAAGATTTAACCACACTGTAAAGAAATTATAACAAGATTTAACACTTTCATTTTTGTATGAATTTAGGGAGATTCTAAACACACCTTCATTTTTCTTTTCCACAATTTTTAAAAAAACTTTTCTTTAAGTAAAATTATTTAATTACTTTTTTCATCTCAATTTTAAAGTTTTTAGATATATATATATATATATATATATATATACCCAATAATTATATAACTTGCCAAATATGTATATTCGATAAAATTAAAAAAAGTTATATTTAGATTTAAGAAAAAAAATCAATTGAAAAAAATGTTTTATAAAAATTTTTAAGTTTCTGAATATCTAAATTTGAAAACTTTTAATAAATTTTAAGATATGAAAATATAAGAATTTTTAAGAGCTTCTGAATTTGTAAATCCAAAAACTCTTAAAAATTTTTGGATTTGCAAATTAAAAAGTTTAAAAGTGGAAAGGTGTAAAGAGGGAAAAAATAATTAAATAATTTTATTTAAAAATAATTTTAAAAAATGTAAAGAGTAGAAAAAGAGTATATTTAGAATTTCCCGGACCCTCTCAAATCTTATAATAATAAAGATAAAGAGATTCGTCACTACAGTTAGGATCAAGTCTGTCAATTTGCAATAAAGAGGTGCCCCTTATCATTAATATCAGAAATTAGAGGGACCATACTCCTAAAGTAACTGAAAATTTAAGATGCCCCAACGGCCAAACGAAAGTTAGTCCAAAATATTTATAAAGACCTTTAGAGAATGAGTCCCTTCCCATCCTCACAAACCCAGCCAAAAGCATACACATAAGCTCTCTTCTCCTTGCTAAGGGGCATAGAACACAACTAGTCAATTACCAGTTTTCCATGGCTTTTGCAGAGAGAGTTGTGGCTCAGGCTCTTCTGGTAGTGATGGCAGCCTTGCTGCAGTTGTCACAAGCAGCTGTTTACAAGGTCGGAGACTCTGCTGGTTGGACCACCATTGGCAATATTGACTACAAGCAGTGGGCCGCTACTAGGACCTTCCAAGTTGGTGACATTATTCGTAAGTTTCCCTTAAATTTTGTGCTTTCTGGCTCTACTCTTTTATTTCCTCTGCTGGGTTTATTCCTTACAGTAGCTTTGTTCCTTAAAAGCATTTTTTTACCTCTAGTTTCTTCACTATGCTCCACCTCCTGCAACTATTTTGTGCTAAAGCCGCTGCAGGAATTTTCACATTTTCAAGAGTTAAATTCCAAGCAATTTCCTACAAGATATCACTGTAATATATACATATAGTTATCTGGTAAATGTTCCTTGTACGTACGTACAGGCAATGCCTAGGATACTTTGTTTCCTTGTTTTGGATAAATTTTACCATCTCTCTATTTATATTTATTTATTTTGTATTAAATATGTATAAATCATAAAAATTATTATATTATAATTTATATTAATATGTTAAATATAAAATATTTTTATTAAAATTTTGACTCATATTATTTTTTATTATTTTTCATATTATTTTTATTTATCTTTAAAATATTCAGATGTAAATTTTCGTTTTAAGGTGCTATCAAAGAGCTGATAGCTCTTTAGCCATGGCTGTCCCTGTTTGTTTTCCGGTTCGATCCATGATCCATCAATTCATCCCTCATAAGTCGTAATGACTTGGGAAAAGAAACTTTTGTTGTTTGAGTACAGCATGGAATGGAAGAGACATGGGATCTTACTAGACACTTGGAAATCAAGCATACAACGTTTTTAACCGTCTTTAAATGGGCACCAACATCGACATCCAACAGCTTGTTGGGGTCCCATAAACCCACACATTATTCTGTCCAATCCCCACTTTCGCATGCCACACTGAAAGCTTAGCCGAGTTTGGATGTCTGCTATCAATTCATTCAATATTGTCAAAAATTATAAAAAGAGATTTAAAAATATCTTTATTATTATTATTATTATTATTATTATTATTATTATTATTATTATTATTATTACGATGGAACATATAAAAGTTCAGATACTTTACCAATTTTTTGGATAGCTACAAGATTTTTACATACTTCTGTAAGATAAATCAACTAGCTACTGTTAAGACACATGTCTAGGTTCAATTTAGAAGTATAAATGGGTGCTTTAGGAACGTAAAAAGCATAGCATTATTAAATCAAAATTTAGAAAACAGTATGTAATTTATCTGATATAAAGTTATATATATTTATATATACAAGTAACTAATAGTCCTAAAATTGTTTTTGCTTCCAGATAGTAAAAAATATAGCAGAAATGAAAAAGATGTAGAGTTAACATTTAATAGGTTTAGGTTTAAATTTTAGATAATTATTTTCTTTATTCTTAGATTATGACATCTTTTATAAAAAAAAATTTATGGGAACGATAGAAATGCTATTGAATTATTATGAAGTTTTGGAGCTACTGTCAAGGTTGAAAAATGATCTTAAATATTGGGAAAAACTTTATCATGTTCAACAACTTTTTATTTTATGGAAAAAGCAGGGGGGCCTAGCTGTTCACGCTTAATTATATACAATAATGCCTTGCCACTTTTGAGTACAGTTCTTAAAATATAATTGGATGCCGTAGCTCCCTGTGCAGATTCAATGATGATGGGGCTAGATACTCTGGAATAATACAATACAGAAATGAATGATGAGAGAAAGAGTTAGTAGTATCCAAATTTATTTCATAAGCCAATTCTACTTGCATTACTCAATATATCCTATTGCTTAAGATTTTGGTACACTTAAATAGATCTGTTCTTCATGTAACAATTTATATAGTTCATTCATTGACACCAATGTTAATGACATACAGGTTTTGAGTACAATGCTCAGTTTCACAATGTGATGCGAGTAACCCATCCGATGTATAGGGCCTGCAATGCCTCAGCCCCTTTGGCCACCTATACTACTGGCAATGACTCCATTGTCATAACCACAAAGGGTCATCACTATTTCTTCTGTGGTGTTCCTGGACACTGTCAAGCTGGACAGAAAGTTGATATCAACGTGCTTCGCACAGCTGAAACAGCTCCAACTCCAGGTCCCTCTGGACTGAGTCCTCCTTCAGCTCCTTCTGTCGGTGTTCCTGCACCTTCAGAAAGCAACGCTATCTCTTTGAAAGCTTCGAAGTGGAGTTTTAGTAAGCTTGGTTTAGCAATGGGTGCTTTTGCAGTTTTGTTATCAGGTTTTTATTAAACAATTTTAGTATGATTGTTCAGTGGAATTACATATTGGGGTCTTGTGGGGACTTTTAAGGAATGGTTAGTATACTTTTATATTAACTATGAATAGTACTTGTTGATGAACTAAAGTTCCATATGCAATAATTGAATATATTTCTTGAAGGATTCAAAATTTTAAATCCATGTCTAAGAATTCAATTGACTTATCAAACCAAGCAAATGTTCAAAGTTAAACCATATCTAACAGCGACAGTGTTAGCATTAGTCTAATAAGTATGGAGATAGAATGAATAAAATTAGCTTTGTTAATGCAGAGAATGGTAGCATACACAGGCTGCACTTTTCGTTGCAATTTAAACACATTATATAATATTAAATCTCAACTACTTCAACCACCAGTTATCCAATTCTAAAGCTTAAATTTGTGGATCACCAGCATCATTACATAAACTAACATAACTAAAATCAAAAACTAGTTGACAGCAAAAATGCCAACTTGCTGTCTGCTGCAGCTAACAACCTTGCTGCCTGCGGCAGCTAACTTCTCCTTGCCATTTTTGTTGGAAACACCAAGTTTTCTTCTTAGTTTTCCAAACATTGTTTTAGGCAAAGCTTTGGTCAATATATATGCAATTTGACCTTCTAAATCGCAGTGCACAAGTTTCGCGTCATTCCCAGCTTCAGCTTCTCTAACAAAGTGTAATTTGATCTTGATATGTTTCGTCCTCCCATGGAACACAGGATTCTTGGCCATTTGCATTAGCTGATTGATTGTCACAACAAATCTCAGTTGCTTCATTTTGCTTCCAATTTAAATCACCCAAAATCTTCCTTAGCCATATGGCTTGATTAATAGTAGCGACGACTGTAATGTACATTGCCTCTGCTGTTGATTGTGGTACAGTCTCCTGCTTCTTTGAATTCCAGCTAAACACACTTGTTCGTGAAAGCATAAGCTGAAGTACTACTCTCCATATCTTCATGAGAACCACCCTAGTCACTATCCTTAAGTCCAACAAGTTTTGACGCTTCACTTCTCTTAAACCAAATACCAAGATCGATAGAACCTTTAATGTATTCAAAGGCCTTCTAGTAGCCTTGAAGTACAGCTCACTAGAATCTTGCATGAACCTAAAGAGTAAGCTGGTTGAATGCATGAACATCTGGCAATTGTTGCTAATCAAAATATAGCAACCATCCAATCAAATTCCTATATATAGACCATCCACCTTGTCTGCTCCATTTTCCTTAACCACCTTCTCATTTCGAACTTATGGAGTGGTTGACTGGTTTGCAGTTTTTCAATGCCAAACTTGATAAAAACTTCATTTGCAGGTACAGTCACTAGAATCTGCATGAAACTAAAGAGTAAGCTGGTTGAATCATGAAATCTGGCATTTGTTGCTATCAAATATAGCAAAGCATCCAATCAAAATTTCTATATATAGACATCCACTTGTCTGTCCATTTTTCCTAACCACCTTCTTCATTTCGGAATTAATGGAGTGTTGACTGGTTTGCAGTTTTTCATGCCAAACTTGATAAAAACTTCATTTGCATATTTCTTTTGACAAATGAAGATTTCTTATTGTTTTTGATGAATCTCCATACAAAGAAAATAGGCCATTATTTCCATGTCTGTCATTTCAAACGTTTTCGGCATTTGCTCTTTAAAGTCTTTCACAAGATCAATTTCGTTTCCTGTCACCAACAGGTCCTCAACTTATAAAGAAATAATCATTAGATCATTACTTGCTTGTCTTACATAATGAGTACGCTCACATTTGCTTTTGCTAAATCCCAGCTTTGGTAACTAGTCATCAATCCTGCTATACCAGGCTCTAGGAGCATGCTTCAATCCATAGAGAGCCAATTTTGAGAAGATAGACTTTGTCCTCAAAACCAGCTATGAAATGGCCTTCTGGTTGCTCAACAAAGATTTGTTATTGAAAATAGCCATTCAAGAATGCTGATTTTACATCTAGCTGAATATTTTCCAGCCTTTTTGTGCTGCCAAGGTTATTAGCAGCCTTAGAATGTTATGCCTTGCACTGGTGCAAATGTGTCTGAAAAATCAACTCCATATTGCTAAGAGTAGCTCGACCACCTGCCTTGCTTTGTGTATATTGATAAACCCATTAGGATTGAGCTTGGTTTTGTACACGCCTACACAGTACAACCATTTTACTCCAACGGCCTTAGCCTTTCCACAAGCTCCCAAGTTTTTTTTTTTTCTCAATCATATGCAGCTCTTCCTTCATTGCGCCTTCAAGTAAGTTAGAAATTGCTGGCTTTAGTGTAATGGAAGGCTCTAGCAGAGCTGTATTACACCTTTCACTAATTATTAGACTCAAAAATCAAAGGTAGCACTTGTTTCATGGAGATGCTTGTCTCTAAGAAAATGTCACTGGCAAGCTTTGACTTTATTTTTGTCCCAAGTCCACCTGGCTGCTTCATCAAACTTTCACATTTCAACTGACTTGATCTTCTGGTAACTTCAAATTGAACACCCTGCAACCTTTGGCATTTTTGCTAAATCCAAGAAATGTTCCAATTTGGAGCCCTTTGATCCAGTTTATCACTTTTCATTTCAAGAAACATTTGAAAAATATATGCAGCCAAAGATTCTGAGATGCTCCATTGCTGGTTTGACTCCATACTAGGCCTTAAAATGGAGTTTTATTCTTCAAAGCCCTAGTAAGCAATCTATTGAGGAAATAGATTGAAGTATATCTACTTCTGCCCATAAGCTCTTTGGAAGCTTTTTCTTAAACAGCATGCACTTTGCCATTTCCATAACAGTTTTTTCCTCTCAGTTACTCCATTTTGTTGAAGAGTGTAAGGAACTGTCAATTGATTCTCCAAGCCAGCTTCAAAGAAAAAAGCATTCAAGCAGGTCTGAGGTATACTTATCGCCCATTTTTCTGATCTTAGCACCTTAATTTTACTGTCAGCTTGGTTTTCAACCCAAATTTTAAAATTTTAGAAACAAACCAGCTACTTCTAACTTGAGCTTTAGAAAATAAACCAACACATCCTTGTGAAATCATAAATGAAGAGAATGACGTCTTGCTGCCATTTGAGGATAGAGTCCTCTAAGGTTCACAGATATTAATGTGAATCAATTGCAGCTTCTTAGAAGCTCTCTAGACTGAGTTTGTAAGAAATGGAAGCTTTCTTTGCTTCCTAAACTAACATACATCACATACTTCATTTCTAGCACTAATGGCAGACATGTGCTCTGTTAAGTTCTTGAAAGCCATATTTTTCATAAAAGCATAGTTAAAATGACCAAACCTTTTATGCCAAAGACTAGACTCATCAACAGGTGTAGTATATGCATGAATTTTAGGTTTTTTCAATTCCATAGTAAAACTTTTACCAGTCATTTTAACCGCCATCAATTCACAATCATTATAATAAACAATGAAATGTTCTGAAAAATCAAGGAATAAACTCTCTCAAGCATTTGTCCTACACTAAGATTTTGGTTGATATTAGGTACCCATAGAACTTCTATAATGAATCTCATACCTGTTGGAGTTTCAACAGCCACAATTCCTTTACCTTTCACTTTCAAAAGTTCACCATTGCCAATCATCACTCTAGATTTGTAGGTTTTGTCTAGCTCCTTGAAGCAACTTTCATTAGGACATGTGATTTGTGCAACCATTGTCAATCAACCAAGTCTCTAAGTAGATGCTTGTTGCATATCATGAAATAATAAATAATTGGTCCTTTTGTTGCATTGATTTTTAGTAACTTAAGCTCACTGGCCTGGTTGAATAGCTTTATTCTTGCATGACTTCTCAATATGGCAAAACTATTTGCATGATCTGCAATTTACTCTTGGTTTTAACCAATATAAGTTTTTGATGTGATTCCTCCTTTTGCAGTGAGCACAATGAGGATACTCCCCTTTTTTACCACCACTTTTATTGGTTTATGACTCTTTATTTCTCTATCTTTCCTTACATTCATTTGCTTCTTACCTTCATTACTTGATGTAGCCTTTTCTCTCTGTTTAGCTAGAAATGCTTCATCAATGGTTTGTTTTTGTTTTTTCCTTATGGCTTTTCTTTGCTCAAGTGCTTAATTTTTAATAATCTTTTTAAAAAACATGCTAATGAAGTCCTTTTGAGTCCTTAAGTGAAGAGTTAGATTGGTGCCGAGCTTGTGATAAAGGGTAAAAACTTTAAATCAAAGTAGATCAGAGATCAATAAAAAACAAAGGCTAAAGTGGTCTTCATGTTTGTACTTAGACATTCAAATCAGTACTTGAAAGAGTGAGAAAGAGGAAAATCTAGAGAATAAAAAATTAATTACCTATACTTGAAGAAAATAAGTATTTATATCTGAAAGGGGAGGTGTTAAAATTTTAACGATTTGAGCTTTTAGAGTTGGGTTTATGGTTGATAGGGCCAACTTGACCTAACATGGCAAGAGGACACCCAACACGATGATGACAAGTCAACATATTCACATGTTATCAAGTGGGTGTAAAGCTGGTTAAGTTGATCTGGATTATGAGAAATAAGGTTGCCTGCCACGTTAGCTCTAGCCAAATGACAAAGTTGGCCTTGGGTTAATGGTGAGTCACTTTCTTTATAAAAATGATCATTATACTCTTTGATATAAAATGCTCTAACATTTCTGTCTCCCATCAAACTATCTGAAGGCTTAAACGAGCATGAAGACTGAGGTCCCTAATTTGTTTTGAGATCATTCAATTTTTTGTAGAACATGAAACTTTCACCTAATCCGAGCTAGGACTTGACGTATAATTTCTTAAATGATGAAAGTGGTCCGAGATGCTAACATAATTTAGATAGCGTTTATGGCTTGCCTACATATGGATATTTGCTAAAATCTCAACAGTCTTGGCTTTGCTTTACTCTGGTTTGTCTCTATTTGTGGTTATTAAGGGTGGCAGACCTAGGCAGTTTTTTATTTCATCCAAAATTAGTTGTAAAGGTGTCCAGGTAACACTTAGGTGTTTTTATTGAATAAATTCCTAACATTCATTTAAATTAGTATTTTATAAGGAGAGAGAAGTTTTAAATGAAGTTTAGGGGTTTTTTTTGAATTTGGGTGGTATTTTGACTTTGGAAAGGAAGTTGGAATGCCATCTACGTCTTTGAAATGTGACATAGCTCAAT